CACGTCCGACTAGAATCTTTCGTGTTCGCCGTTTATACCAGGGGCATCGCATCCGCCGAATAAAACCGATCACGGCCCTCGTACTCGAGGATTCTCGCCGTTCTCGCATCGAACCACTTTCGTACTTCGAAGAGAAGCGTCTTCGAAGTTAGTCACGAAAGCACACGGAATCGTCGAGGAGACGATTAATCTTCGTTAGAGAATCGGAGAATCGGAGAATCGGAGAATCGGAGAATCGGAGAATCGGAGAATCGGAGAATCGGAGAATCGGAGAATCGGAGAATCGGAGAATCGGAGAATCGGAGAATCGGAGAATCGGAGAATCGGAGAATCGGAGAATCGGAGAATCGGAGAATCGGAGAATCGGAGAATCGGAGAATCGGAGAATCGGAGAATCGGAGAATCGGAGAATCGGAGAATCGGAGAATCGGAGAATCGGAGAATCGGAGAATCGGAGAATCGGAGAATCGGAGAATCGGAGAATCGGAGAATCGGAGAATCGGAGAATCGGAGAATCGGAGAATCGGAGAATCGGAGAATCGGAGAATCGGAGAATCGGAAAGAGCCGTTGTCGAATCGTACCCGCGTGTTCTCGACCGCCCTGTAATCTTCGATCGTGACGAGATCGCGACACAGTAACAGAGGCGGCGGATATCGAGGCGAGACGTTTGTCGCCAGCGGAAACGGTCGACGTCGACGGCAGTGGATTTTACGTGGCTAGAAACTTTAGCGCCGCGTACAACCGCCGCTTGCAGAGGGAGAGAACGAGAGTGCAACGCGAGGAGCATGCGCAGCCTGAAACCGAAAGTGCACGCCCACCCTGGCAATGCCGCCCCTGAACCTAGACCTACACCCCCGCTTTCCAGCACCCCACGGTCAACCCGGTGCCCCCAACCTTCAAAACTCCATCCACCGACACCAACAGCCAGATATATGTATACGCGCCTACCTCCACCCGATTCTTCGCCTCGAGCAACGCTCTAGTACGGAACTACGTTTCGACTTTGAATCTTTCTTCGTGCCAGCGTATCCGTTCGATCTTATCTGCGGAACACGTCCGACTAGAATCTTTCGTGTTCGCCGTTTATACCAGGGGCATCGCATCCGCCGAATAAAACCGATCACGGCCCTCGTACTCGAGGATTCTCGCCGTTCTCGCATCGAACCACTTTCGTACTTCGAAGAGAAGCGTCTTCGAAGTTAGTCACGAAAGCACACGGAATCGTCGAGGAGACGATTAATCTTCGTTAGTTTTTTCGTGGTCGTCGAAAGGGGAAAAGATAAGAGGACAACGCGCCGGTTAGACGGTTGTTTCTCCAGCGAAAGAAATTCTTCTTCCGTTCAATTGTCTCTGTCCTGGCGCGATCTCCATTCTAGGTCGGTTCTCGCCCTTCAATTTTTTTTTTTAAACGCCGCGCCTCGCCCTAGCATTTCTTAATACGCGAATCAAACCGGGGATGGTTCGTGTTCCTTTTCAACGACATCTGGTTCTCTCCCCGTGTTCGAACCCCTGTCCGAAAAACGAGTGGTATACCGGCTAAAGGCTAAAGCCTCGTTCACGATCACCGTCCTAGAAACCCGAAACGATCAAAACAACTTTTTCAGACGGGGCCCTCTCGAGGACGTTGGATTATCCTTTTTCGGATGCCTCGATTTCGTGTTACAGGGGGTGCCCGTTGGTTCCCTCCCTTTTCGCGTCAGCCCCGACCAAAAATTCAGACATCGACTGACCTGGATTTCCCGTTATTCCATGCCTCTCTTGCTCGGCTAACAATATTTACACGATTCGATATAAACAGCGGGGATCCATTGTACGAACGAATCGAATTCGTTTCCGATGTCGTGCGAAAGCAACCAGGACAGACCGTAACCTGCCGACTCCTAAGGTTACGTTTTATTTATTGCCGGCCGTTCGTTGCGCGAGAATCCTCGAACATTCTCTCGCACGGTAACATCCGGACGACGTAACACGCGGCTATGCAACGCGTGACGAATTTTCGATAATTTATATTCACCAGCGCATTCGAATCGCTAAACCGCTAACGTATTGGTTTCGTGCGACGACAGCCCAGGCCGGTGGCGGAATCGAGAAGAGGTTCGGACGTTGTTTCGATCAACGCGCGTTATTTATGGCTCACGTCATTAGAGAATTGGGAGTCTCGCGTTTCGTAACAGCTTTACGATCGCCGATAAAATTATGCAACGTAATCTAATACGTATCTCGTTTCGCCAGTGTCCCAGGAGCCGATTCGCCTGGTGATTTTCGGTCGCGCGAGCACACGCGAACCGACAGCCGACCAAAATCGCCTCTTTTGTCGTGCGTGCCACCGACTGCGTAGCCGATCTCTACCGTGGTCTCGATGCTCGTGGGAATCGCTCGAAAATTATACGAAAAATGTCGTAGCCCGACCGTAGGTGACACGATCGGGATCACGTTTCGCTACCGTTCCTTTAAGGTTTAACCGTCGGTATTAGGGAAGTTTTATTTAGGCGAACGCGCATACGCGCGGTTTCCATAATCCCTCGCAATATGCGTGCACACGCGAACGCGTGCATCGTTCGATAAAAATTCATAGCCGTTGGCATCCCCGCTAATCGCTCCGGTTCTCCCCTCTCTCTCCCGCTCGCCATCCGTCTATCTAACTTTTCTCTAATTGCTCGATCGGTACGCTGTTTTTTTATAGGGGACGCCCAACAGCGACGATAAGAGGACGAAAGAAAACTTTGGTAACGCGCGTCATCGACTCTGCCGATAAACGAGTATGCATTTCGTACGGTTTATTTTCGCGCTACCAAACAGAATCTCTGCCATTAATGACCTTCGTTGCAGATAAAAGCAACCGTTCGATAAGACAGACCGTGCAGCGATTGCTTGTATTGTACGTACAGGCAACGCATACTTCTGTGTATGTATATGCTGTTTGTGCATTTCGTTCGTCAAGAATTTCGATAGCAACGCGCAATAGGGAGTGGGCGCGGAGCGAATCGAATGACGAGACGATACGGTGGACCGATTTATTTATCAATAAACGCATTCGCGATATTTTCGGATCAGCGTAAACACTCTTGCCTGTTTTGCGCGTGGCGAGACGAGTTCGTTTAGCTCGTTCGTAAAGAGAGGCTCTCGTTACGCGTACTTAATAATCGCGAAGCTAGCTAGAATCGACTACGGATGAAAAAAAGAAACAGAAATATAAGCGCGTCATCGACGCGAGTCCCAGTCCAGAATAATACTTCGATTCCAAATAAATCTCGTCAAGTGGGCCGACGCGTCTCGAGCGTGGCGAGATGACTGTGAAACGATGCTGAAAATAAAAATAAGATTATACTGTTGCAAGATCGCGCGATCGCAACCTTGGTTAAATTTAAAGATGGCCGATCTGACCTTCGAATTTAAACCGCGACCACCATCAATTTTTCATAGTGCAGCGTCGTCGCTCGATCCTCGATATGCGTGCGCGGACGCATGTACTTTTTCGAAAAAAACAAGAGAAGTGACGAACGGAACAACGGGAAAATTTACATTCGCCGAGCAGGACATTTAGGCGCGAATACCGTGAAAAGAACGCGCGAGACCGTACGGGGTCGAGTTCGCGACGCAAAAAGAACCACAACCGTCCTCTGTAGAATTTCGACGTAATATACCCAAGGGCTAGAGGCGTAAATATTTACACCTCGTGAAACACATAGCCGTTTCATACCGGCACGGCACGGCGTTTCCCTCGAAGCAAAAGTACACACGACAGAAGTCACATTCGGGAAAAAGAAACTGTTGCGAGCACGGTACACACCGTTACCGGAGACAGACTTGTTTGCTGACCGCGAGAGCGCGCGATGTATGACGCTTCGATGCTATTTAAAAGGCGTATCGCGTCGACCAACTTTCCTCCCTGTCCCTTTTTTTAATAACACGAAATATAAACGCGTTTGGCCTATTCGAATACAGAGAAGGTTCACGGAGCATGTGATCGGTTAGAGGATGTTTTGAGTCATCGCTAATTGCAAATACATACGTGGAATCGAGCACGTAGGCCACGCGTTTCGTTCGAGCACGAACACTAGCTTATCCCTCGATATCTAAATTATTTTACACGCCACGTAACGAGAAGATTTTTAAAAGAGTTTCGTGCTCTCTGGTTCGACGCGCAAAAAGAATCGTACATCGACGCCATATTCGATCCATTGTCAACGAAAACCGCGAGTATCCACTCTAAAACGACTAGCATCGATAATGTCGTTCGGTTTAGACCGCGCGTAGAAGTAGAATGAAACGCGTAACGTTATCGTTCGAATTTACTTATTCCCGATTAAACGGTACATTCGATCTGACCTAATTTCTCGTAGTAATAGGATCCGAATCGACGCACGTTCTTAACGATATCTGAACGATATTAAATCGATCATCGTGTCGATATCGATCGGTCGTATCGTCGATCGGCGTGGATGACATTTCACTCCGCGCTAATTATATCGTAGGTGCAATAGCCTTAAAGGGTTAAGTCGTCGATGAATCTCGTTCGGATCGAAGCGGATCCAGCGCGTTAGCGAGAGAAGCGAAGAAAACGTCGAATTTAAAGAGGATTATCTCGTTAGGATTCCGCGTAAGTTTCCGGGGACACGAGGAACGGTAGGAGTCGCGTGTCGGCGTGTAGGTGCGCGCACACGCAGGTCGACGATTATTCGCGGGTGCCTGGACGTAGCCGGGTTCGAAAAGTAAAACGCGCGGTGCGGCACGATCTCGCGTATGCAGCCGGCTCGGCTCGGCGTCGGTAAACGAGAGGAAGAGAGACGGAGAGAGAGGGCTCGTCGAGCGCGACCGCGACGGAAACATAGAGCGGTAGCGTGGTCTGGTCGGAGGGACGAGAACGGCGCGCATCGATTGGCGCGCTAGCCGTGACCCCCA